CCGCCTTCTTTCTCGCTCTCCCTTCCTTCTTCCATTCCTTCCTTCCTTTTTTTCAGGTCTCAGAAAACTTGCCTGGAAGCCATTATTATCTGATGTCAAAGTGACTTTCTGCCTACATGGGATTTGTTAGTCTAAAGTTACACCTTGACCTATATATTATGGGTGTTCATGGAAGGTGAATCTTAAGTTTTAAAATAGGAATGAAAAGTTTCCGCCTACTATTTGATAATTTAGGCCACAAGACCTGCCACGTTTTAGGGAGTTTTTTTTTGTGTGTGGCATTTTTTGCTTCATTGTTAAGCAACTAAAGGAAACAGCCAAGCACCTATACTATTAATTGCTGTAGAAATATTGGGTTTATATTTCCAATTACTATTGTTTTTTGTCTGTCATAGGCGGACTTGAAAATAATGTTGGTGTTGTCTCATGTCCATGTGACTTAAGTATGGATTGCTTTTCTTTGAATTCCCACTAAAAATGGTACTTTGGCCTTTTCAGCTGTTTTTGTGAGGACTTTTCTTTCCACCAAGCTTGTTTTCCAGATAGGTCTTGGAAATTACGAAGAACATAGCTATAATTTCTCCCTTGATTGGCAGCTGAGAGCTTTCCCGGACAAAAATAAGGTTACACAGTGCCAAATGGTTGACTTTTCTAGAATAAAAACTCTAAAGGGTATGCAAAAAGTCCTCTGGTTAATATATTGGCATTCCCAGAACCCACTAAAACTCCGGCAGCCTGCCAGACACCACTTAATGAGGATGCAGAATGTCTGGCTCAAATCCCCATGAGCAGAAGGGGGTGGGGAGCTGATGTCCACACCCTTTATTAATTTTTAATGACTGTACTTTTGTTTTGCAGATTTTGCTCTGTACCCCCCTCAGAACTGACCCCTACCACACCCCTCTCCCCATCCATTTATTTACTCATTTACTTGGCATTGGAAAAATGTTGAGACTTTTAAGGTTAAGAATCCTGCTGAGGGATCATTTCTGTTTGCATGGGTTCTTTTGTTGTTACTTTTTTTTCTTTTCCTTCCTTTTTTTTTTTTTTTGGAAGAGGAAGAAAGAAAAGGAACAGAAAAGGAGATAACTTTTTAAAAATGATGCTTTATTGTGTGCTGGAAAAGAGAAGCATTTATGAAACTTTAAGTTTGTCAGACAGTTTATATGACAGTGCAAGTTGGTGCTTGCCAAGCTCCAGACAGATTGCTAATGTTACATGACAGGGATAAATAAATTACCGCTGTCTGCAACACGCTTGCACTGCAAACGCACTCTTCCGCGGGCGGCGGCCCGGCGGTGCGCGCCCAGGGAGCCTGTGGGCTGTGCAGCTGCGGGGAAGGCCTCTGCCTACTGCCTCCAGCTCTGTGACTTGGTTCGGAAATGAAAAGGGTGTGTCTCTCGCTGTATTTTTGGCAGTGCTTCGGGGCAGCAGAATCCACGTAGCAGCTCTGTGTCCTTGGTTTTGCTGGTGGCTTTGCCCCCTTCCCCTGCCCCTCTCCCCTCTCTTCCACCTTCTTCCTCCTCATCAGGGCGCATGGCACCCAGTCTTCCTCTCAGGGACCTGCTCCAAGAAACTAAACTTTGTTCTCATACGGACCTGCTCTGGCCCTAAGGTTTCTCAGAGCCAACTTTCGAGCTGTTTACTGTTGCGTTCTTTCTGCAGGTGCAGACATTGAGAACAAATTGTCTGAGATAAGTGTGGTGCTGCCCTGGGCGGGGGCTGGGTGGCACTCCTGGGCATAATGTACTTTCATCTCTGGCAATTTGGATAGTCAGCTGGCAGAGTGACAGGTGTAATGAACTTAATGGTCTTGCTCTAGTTGTTAGCGGACACACTGCTCCTATTACAAAGCCACCTCCTAAATTGGGCCCCTGCCAAATGACTTGTTCTCTTTGCAGACAGGATGCAAGGCCTGGACTACTCGAGTGACGTTGAGATCAGGAACTGGGTGGGTGTGAGCAACATCTGTGTGCCCTCATCCACATGATCCCTAAATGGATCTAGAATTTCTTTTCAAAGTAAGATTGTTCTATCCATTTTGCAAAAAAGATCCATCCCGTCCACTCCTGGCCAGCTGTCCTTCCATGTGAAATGTGGCAAGGACCTTCTGTGTAAGTGCGTGGACTCTTTGCTTCTGGGGTTTGCAGAGTGGCAGGCTTCCTGCCATGCCTTGTTGGCTCCTGTGCAGGGCCACCATTCTCCAGAAATGGGCTGGGCTGCGGGTGGAGGCAAGGCCAGGGATCATTTTCATTGTCGGTGGCCTCAAGAGTTGGGGAGGGAATTTCCATAATAAAATCTCACTGCTTCCAGAAGGCAAGAGTGGAGAGCCCACAGCTTGAATCCAGGCTGCCTTCAGAAGGGCTCCTGAATCTCTGGCCGCCCCCCCCCCCTCCACCAGAGCACTTGGTCAGAGAATACTAGCAATGGTTCCAAACACTTGCATATCACTATGTGCCAGGATGTTCTTAGGGCTGCACGCATATTAACTGATTTAATCCTCACAGCAGCCTTATGACTTAGGTACTATTACCATCCCCAGTTTGCTGGAAGGCAACTGGAAGCCCTGAAATTGCCCAAAGTTACATCTCTTGTAAATAAAGGGTAGAGTCTGATGCAGCCCAAGCAGTATCTCCCTGGGGTCTGGGCTTTGACTCTGGAGCTGCCTGAGACAGGGCCCAGGTCAGAAGGTCCTCCTCAGGGACCACTTACCAGCTGGGCAGAGAGGAACAGCGGCATTTCTCTCCTTGTCCCCATACAGTTCCCGGTAACTATCTAGCCAGCAAGCTCTTTCCTTCTTCCTGCCTTGACTGTGGCTCAGATTTATACCCCACCTTACTTCCCTTCCCCATTCTTACTTCTAACTTGCTCTCTGTGCCTATTTTGCCTGTGGCAAGAGCCTCGGTTTTGATAATTGGGCCACTGGTGGCTTTGTTTGGCCACACTGAGCCTCCAGTTCCTTGAAAGAAAGTTACTTAGTATTTTGTAGTATTCCTTGCAAACCACTTCTGTTAGTCTTCTGTGGGTGTTAGAGCATCGTGACCTGTTTTCTGGTTGGTGAACTGAGGCATGTGGGTCTGGAGGTGAGGCTGGACTGGATGAGGCCTTCCCCAGCTGTCTCTTCACTCAGAAGGATCCAGCTCATCCCAGTACTTGGAAGCTACCCTTTTTATTACCCTTCGCTTCTCACATTTGGGAAAAAAAAATGAAAAGATAATCGTCTTTAAGATTCTCTGTTTTGCTCCATGGG